TCTCAGAGGCACCTGCAAGGGAAACGATGAATGTTAGCGTCAATCTCTAGGAAGACATCAATAAACAAACTCTATGCAATCACTTGGTCAATTAAGAGAACATTTTATTTTCATTAAGAAATAGCCTTGGTTACATGATTGTATATGATGCTTTTTGTTTTTACATGTCAATTCAATACACATTTTGTATTTTATTTATTCAGTCCCAACTTGGCTCTGGTAACTTGTGATGGGCATTAAGAACCTGTATAGGTAATAGGAGATAGGTACAGTACAGGGAAAGGCTTGACGCAACATGTGTATTCATTTCACAGCAACTAAACAACAATCTGTACTGTAGACATGGTGAAGGGGTTTGTACCAATGCCCAGCGCCCAATTTACTTTCATTTTTATTTGTAAACCATACACATGATCAGCACCAGTTGCTCTCTGAAGTCATGGCAGAATCGTCTCTAGCAATTGGTTACAGATAAATGTCGGCAAATTACATTTTATCAGCCGATAAGCCGATAGCACTCAAGTAAAATATTAGATTGGTGCATTCCTGGTTGTATCATGACACTAAGAGGAATAACTCAAGCCAATTGGAGTCTACTGGTCATACACTTAAGGTCAAATATGTATCCGTCAGTCACCATCTAAAAGTTCAAGACACTTTGTCACAATACTTGATATCGCAGAAGGCACTGGTGACTGACGGATACATATTTGACCTTAAGTGTATGACCAGTAGACTCNGTGTCTGTCTCTTTACTTTCTGCAGCAAAATGGCACCATTGTGGGCTTCCCAGGAGCCAAACCCTATGAAGGGGGCATTTTGGAAGCCGACTGCCACATCCTGATCCCTGCCGCCGGAGAAAAGCAGCTCACAACACCCGAAGGATCAAGGCCAAGGTAACCCCTCACTTTTGTATTTACCCAAGGTGCTTTGCTTAAAGTTGGTGTTTGACTCCACACGAGTAAGGACAGGGAGACTTTGTTCCAGTCATGTAAAGTGTGTGTTGTATTTCATGTCTTTTCAGATCATTGCTGAAGGTGCCAATGGTCCCACCACCCCAGATGCTGACAAGATCTTCCTGGAGAACAACGTCATGGTTATTCCTGTAAGCGCGCACACACAATTAAAATAAAATGTGCTCAAACCACACAAATCCAGCGCTGATGGAGCAGATGAACTGCCTTTGTGTTGAACTCTTAATGAATTACACCTCGGATGTTTTTCCTTTTTAACTTTTTAATCTGGATTATTTCTTAATCATTATTATTTTGTCATGAATATTTTGTGATACAGCACAAAATACACGACATATTTTTATAAATATAATATATAAACCATAAAGGGGAAATGTAAACAATAAACAAGCTTTTATTTTGTAAGCAACAGATTTTTCTAATAATTTCACAAAAGCATTTCATTTTCAGTTTATTACAGAGTAATCATTTCCTTCCCATATCTATATTTAAAATGAGTGCAGGGTAAATGTTGTAATAATTCAACCCACAGGGAAGTGAGGACCGAACAGGCTAAAGACTTTGTTTCCTCCTGCAGGACATGTACCTGAATGCTGGCGGTGTGACAGTGTCTTATTTCGAGTGGCTGAAGAATCTCAACCATGTCAGCTATGGAAGACTGACCTTCAAATATGAGAGGGACTCTAACTACCACCTGCTCAGTGAGTACAAGACTGCTCCTCACCTCCTCCATGGCCTGCAGCGTCATAACACTCAGAGGATACATTACCAATACACATCGAGCTTAGAAAACTGTATTATTGCATTATTTTTCTGTTTTCCTTTTGAGTGGGTTGGGTTGAGTGGGCTCATTCTTCATCTCATTCTCAAACGTGCCATTTCTGCTGATAAGCCGTGTGACTTGGCCTCTCGTTTTATTTGTTGAAAATCTCAATCAAACTCCCCCCTTGTTTGTTTGCCATCTACGACAACCTTTAACTTAGGATGTGTGGTAAAGCGAACAAGGTTAAATGTTTCCCCATTTATTTTTTTCCTTAAAGAGTGTCTTTTATAATAATTTAAAGGACAAGTAGATATAGTCTTACTGAATCGGTGCTGGCTCAGGCGGTGTCGGTGATGTTGCTCTGTTATTTCGGCGTAAGCTGGTGTCAGCTGATGTGATCTCTCTCCAAGAGTAACGACGTCTGGGGCAACCTTTTTGTATACTCTCTCTTGATCACAAGCAGCCAATCATACAGTGGCTTTTCCACTTTCACTTGTGTAACTTGATGAACCCTGGTATTTGTTATCGACTCAGAAACAAAAGATATGTCTTTATTTTTCTAATGTTTCTCTTTGTTCCCTTCTAGTGTCTGTGCAGGAAAGTTTGGAGAGGAAGTTTGGCAAGCAGGGGGGGCCCATCCCTGTCGTACCTACTGCTGACTTCCAGGCCAGAGTTGCTGTGAGTATCGTCTGCTAACACACACTTAAAAAAAGATATCTATAACAAACAAATGTGTTTTTTTCTAATATGTTGAAAACAATGCAGCTTTCTAATACTTCATTAAAAATTGTATTTAAAATATCTAGTCTTTAACAAATATTGTGCCTTCTGCGATATCAAGTATTGTGACAAAGTGTCTTGAACTTTTAAATGGTGACTGACGGATACATATTTGACCTTAACTGTATGACCAGTAGACTCCAATTGGCTTGAGTTATTCCTCTTAGTGTCATGATACAACCAGGGCTCTCGACTAACTTTTTTCACCATCCTCCCGGAACCGTCCCGAAACACAATCTAAGCCGTCCCGAAATTAATGTGGACCGTCCCGAATTTAANGATAAAGCAGACAGAAGTGAGGGGAAGGCAGTTGTGCGGTACCAGTTTATATTCCTCCAGCGCTTTGGGGTCGATGCCATCAGCGTTGTAGATGGCTCCATCAATCTCACCGATGCCCACACACTTGGCCCCAAACCTGTGCAGGTACCTCATGGAGTGAAGACCCACATTACCAAAGCCCTGTAAAAAAGTTACAGCAGGTTAATAACATCATGGTCCAGCATCGCTATGATCATCACTTTTTACTCATTGAATATCACCAATAGTAACATTTATAATTGTTATACCACTTTTCAACCAACCATGAACTGATAAGATGTGATGACATGCAACAAAACACTCTGGTGCCACCATGTGGCCAGCTGTAGTTATGACAGGTAAAATGTGTTGCATTCAAATATTTTCTGCAAATATGGGCGAGGAATTGAGACTTAAACAAATAAGCACAGATGGATAAAATAGACGCAGTCTTGAGCAAATTGTTCCGTTTCCTGTTTACGTTCAATATGTTTGTAAATACATGACATTTATTTTATCATGATACATCATTGCTAATGCCAAGCTCTTGTAAACACACAATTGCCATAACAAAGTCAAATCACTGTTTAAAACCTTCACCCACAATGATCTGAGGCTGTGTTTAAAATCTAAGTCTAAACATACTGCAGAATAGATACTCAATCAGTATGTTCTGCATACTAGGTTAGCATTACCCAGCCATTACTAGCAGACTGCTACACTGTGGTAAACTCACGCAGTACGTACTCTCTGCGATACATGACTACATCAATGATGGTGTTAGCAGTCCGAGTTACTGTTAACAAAAGTAATGAATCACAAATGTGTATATACAGCTCACACTTAATGTAATATTTTTTATTATTTATGAATTATTTTTGTGCTATTTAATATGTTTTCTACAGTACATTATACAGTTTATGTGCATTCCCACGTTTTCCCTCTACTGTACCTTGATCTCACTTGCCATCGTTCACAATTATTTTATTTCAGCAGGTAATTAGACTCATGTCTTGTACTCTGAAGTTATTGTGTCTGCACACTATAAAGTAGGAACGCACTATATGCTTAATACAAACTAATATAACTATCCATACTGAGAATCAAAAATACTAGAGGTTTAAAAGAAAGCACATAGAAAAGGAAAGTCTGTACAGCAGTGCTGCGCTCTGCCTGTGGTTTCCTCAATTCCTATAGTCGAATAGTGAATGCAGTATCGCTATATCACACTGCCGGCACAGATCTAACAGAACTGAAGAACAATAAGAGTTCACAGCTGATCTTTTTTAAATGAAGTGTGATAGGAGATAAAATAATCCCCAGTTTTGATCTTGATACCACACTAGGGATCCATCTCCCCGCTCTCACTCAAATCTCTAAAAAAATCTAATCCCAGCACAATGTAATCCTCAGCCACGCACACACACACACACTCACACAGAGGGATTAGTTTTGTTCAACATCCACATCATGGTTCAGCTGCTGTCACCACCTCCTCAATGACGTCCTTCTCATCCCTCATACGATTACCCCCTCAACAAACGTCATCCCCTTCCAATACATTTCTTAGTTTCTCTCCAAGTCTTTTCAAATTCTCTGTAGAGCTAGTAAAGGATATTGAATCCTATGGGGATGTGTCTGAATTGTCAACATAAAGATTTGTGAATTAAGAATAACTGATTACATTTTTCGTCGTAAAAGAGCAGTAATTAGAAAACTTTGTAGGAAAGAAGCAGAGGTCAGTGAGTAGGTGTTTTCGACCCGTGTCTGTGTTGGCATAAGTGTGTATAAGTTTGAGTGTGTGACTGTGTGTGAGTGTGTCCATGCCACGTGAGGACCATGTGTAAATAGAAGTGAAACTGCTGAAAAGGAGAATAGTGCTTTTCATTTTTGCCAAAACAGACACTCTTTCCTGCTTAAAGATGAACAGCTTAAATCTTTCCATGATTGTAATGTTTAAAGTCTCATAATAGGTCCCAGTGTCTAATTTTTCGTAAATACTTCCCTGCTGTGTGCTTGGTGAGGAGGTCAGGGCCAAGCTATAACAGATGGCATGGCTCTGATTGAGGCTCTAAAACCCCTCATCATGATTTCACTTGAGAACGTAAGTCCTGTAAGCAGATATCTGCAGTACATTGAGGGTCTCATCTTTCCTCTCAAGTAAGATGTGTCTACTAGTGTTGCACGGTGTACCGATACTTGAAAGGTATACCGCGATACCCTGTCGTTAAAAACGTTACGATTCCTCCGTTTCATTAGTATCGGTACTTTAAGAATGACGGGGAAAAGTACTCCGGTGAGAAAGCGCCGTTTTAATAAGAGCCGTGTTAATCAGCGCTCTGCTTCCACTCCCTGCACTGCAGCCGTGCCTGCAGTCCCGCCCCTCTCAAGCACGCTCAAGTGCCTCCACTCTCTCGTGCACGCGCTAGCTGCCAGAGCATGTGAGAAAACCATAGGAGAAAACGAGAAGCATGGCTGCAAGTGGGAGTTCGACTGCCGCTGCGCCTCGGCTTGTTGACAAAAAAGACGCCAGAAGCGAAATTTTGATGTATTTTAGCTATATCTCTGACAGTGAGGGCAAGCCTGGCTGTAAGAAATGTATTAATTGTATTTAATACGAATTCTTGTCATTTATTTTATTTATTGTTCTCATTGTTTAAAAGTTTGTGTTATGGTTATGGTTCTGGTGTGAAATAAAGCACACTAATTACATTTAAGATTGTTTCCCTTTTTTTAAGAAAAGTATCGAAAAAGAATCAGAATCGCAATTCTTGACTTGGTATCAGTATCGAAACCAAAATGTTGGTATCGTGACAACACTAGTGTCTACTATGATCAAACCATGCATGCGTGTTTACCTGGATGACGAAGGTCTTATCCTGGACGCCTGGTGTCAGGCCTACCATGCTCATGTAGGACGCCTCGTTCATGAAGTTCTCAATGCCGTGGAAAACTCCACGACCAGTGGCGGAGATACGACCGTGGATTCCTCCCTGGCTGATGGGCTTTCCTGTCACGCAGGCGTGGGCATTGATGTCCTGCAAACACACAGAAAATAATAGTGAAAAACACTGAAGAAGAATATGCACCAGCAGATTGTTGAATAAATGTAGGTTCCCCTTACATAGAGCTCACATATACGGTAAAATGGCAGAGTGAAAACCCCATTGACTATTCTTAAAGCCTTAATGTCTCCAATGAGGCTTAAAAGTGCAACTATATAAGTAATAGAAGCTGCAAAACCAGCACTAACATTAATTCAACTGAAAATATGCTACTTTTTGAAGATAAATCAATTAAGGCCATTAGTTGTACTGCATGAAATTACCCTACAGCAAGACATCCTCACACTGGAGAAGATGGCATCACCAAACATGTTTTGCAGGATAACGGATATCACCAAACAATACATTCTTTAACAAATACCTTATTGTTCATTGACTAATTGTGTGAGTTCTACAAATCACTTGTCCAAACACTGCAGATGGCTTTCCTTAGCTCTCTGAAGTCACCATTACAATTTCCTAGACTACGAGATGGCTGAAGTCCAAACCATTATTTGGCTTTCATAATTGTTGCCTATTCAGATTGAACCTACAACAGTGATGATTAACATGAACACACATAGGTAAATATTTTCCATCTTTAGTCAAATAGGCCCTGTTTGACAGGTTTCGATACGAGAATGATTGGCTGATAACACAAACACACAGAGGCCTCAGTTTGTAGAGCTGCTTTAAAGAGAGGAGGAATGTCTCAGCGGTCGGCTGGGAAGGGTGAGGCAGGAAACCACTGCTCATGGTTTATACGTGACTCATGCCTTCCTTTCATTTGGCCTTCTTAATAATCCTACTGAAAACCGGCCATGTTATACAGATTGGTTGTGTTTGCCTCACAGAACTCACAGTGTGTGCAATGGTGTTGGCGTATGTGTCGGCGATCCAGGACATTTCCCTCTCTCCTGTGCTCATGTCGGGGGCAGGGACATCGATGCCAGGTCCTGGTGAAGTCAGAAAGGGAAGAAGGAGAATGAATCAAGCACGGCAGTCACTGGGCACGTTTCAGTCTTGATAAATGGGTACCTCTGCCCAAGTTTGAATGAGCATAACACAACTAGCATTACAAATTCAAAGGATAAGGGGAATGTAATTGTCAAGCTAAGGGTCATACATATTAAATATATATATTCTGGAACGTCTAAAAGCATGGATGCAGAGAGGTGGGGGATGGGACTGTGCCCTGTTACACTCACACTGACAGAACAAGGCAGTGATGTGTGCAGTGGGTGCTGCTTTGCCTTCAGGATGTATACAAATACACGAAGGAAGGCACTTGTATAAAACCACAAATGACACAACTACTGCCGTCTACATGCCTGCAGGTTAACAGACAGTTTCATATCTGTCCAGAATACATTATAAACATTTCTAAGCGACTTCTTTTGATGGTGTATTTCATTGCTTGCATGTTGAGTGGAGCATCTTGCATTTTTAACACTAACATGCATGGAGAGCGCAGCGATGAATAAACTGTTTGTATAGTGACCTGCTGAACCTGTGTATGCTTACTGTATGCGTGGCATTCTAAACATAGTTACAACTAATACAGAAAATGTTTTGAGAAACCTAAAAGATAAAGAAATTGGTCATTTCTGTAAGATACGTTCCTCAGCCGAAGTGGCATGATGCCTGTACATATCAGGCTCAAGTATAATCTGTGGGGGAAACTTCTGAAGCAATGGGAGTCAGGACTTAGAGAGACACGAGGAGAGCTGGAGCTTTGAAGGCAAACACTGACGGTTTATTTGGAGCTTCGGCCGGAGAATTCACAAGACATGTCACGGGCCACGAGTTGACACAGGTTGAGATGCCACAATCAATTCTGAAGAGCTCTACTCCAGAGCCATGTATTTAGCTAGTTCTCAGAGGATAATCAACATTGTGCAATAGATAGACTAAACAGCTGAGGGACACTAAATTTGTTGTCGCTTATGGCTCGGGGTTATCTACACCCCGAACAGGATGTGTTCCTGGTGTCCCATAACAATAACTATCTCTGACCGAGAGTTGCCCGGTCATAAACTGGTAACAACAACAAAATGCTAGGGCAGCCCCTCCTTAAGGGAGATAACGGCTGCTCAAGGCTGGTCAGCTGCGTCAGAGGGCGAAGGAGGACATGCACTGCAAGTTATTCCCCAACATAATCTTCTTTCCAGGTTTTTTTTTTCCCCGTGTATTAATGGTCCCCCTTGTCAGTTGACACAGGCACACCCTGAGCTAACCCGACCTGAGTAAACAGCGCTAGATGACAGGAAATATTTACTTCCCTGGGTGGAACCATTCAGCTCTCACCACCACAGCCATTTCTAACCCAGTCAAATAAAGACAAGAACTCTGTCACGCAAAAAATGTCAATAGTGCGGCCATGTTAAAGTCATATTGCAGCTTATAAAATGGCTAAACTAATAACTATAACAATAAAACAAGCGCACACATAAACACTCACCAATGAACCCCTTCTTGGCCAGCTCGATAGTGAATCTCCTGGTAATCTTCTCCAGCTCATTATCCTGTGACAGACAAGACACAGTATCCATAAAACATGTTGATTGCAGTGTAATGAGACAATTGAGGATGTTAGGAAACAAGAAATAGGCTACACAAAATACCAAGTGGATTCAAAGTAATGCAATAGTTATCCTTCAGCTATTGAAAAGATACTATAGGCATTTTGACAAAATATTTTGGTTGAGTGGTTTCCAATCCACTTAAAGCCACAGCCACATACCTTAATGTCTGTACCCTTACATTATCCATTAATACATGCACTAAAATCCCTGTCCATAATCCAATAAAAAGGCAAGGCAGGCACCATTAGTAAATTGAAGAAAATGTTACATATAGATCTGTGTATCTAAAGACACATTGGAGTATCTTCTTCAACAATTGCATGTGAACAAGCTTCTTGTGTTCCCTAACTCTTCACATTTCATTTATGTAATCATTCTTCTCATTAATCAACAGAATGAGAGGATAAGGCTTTACATTCCAGTGGGATTGAATCATCATCTGTGTTTGTTTGTTTGTTTGTTTGTTTGTTTGTTTGTTTGTTTGTGTGTAAGAAACAGACAGGAAATCTGATACCACTCCAAAGACTGCCAGCTTCTGTTTTGCTGCGTTGCTATGCATATAACAGCATACAGTTAAACATGTGCGTGCCTCGATATGCGCATGCAGCTGTGGGGGAGGAGGATGACATTAGAAGGCTTACAGAGTAATTCTTGGTGTTGATCTTGACTCCAGCTTTGGCTCCCCCAAATGGCACATCTGGAAGAGAGTAACGCAGCTTAAAAACAACAGGAACATTTACATGCTTATGCACGTACACATTTAGATACCCATGTTCAATCTAATGTATTAATGATGTGCAATCAGTAGGAAGAGAAAGCTAAATACATGACGGCTATTTCCTGCCACGAATGCAGTTTAGTTGTATGGGAACTTCATTTTGTAGGAGAAAGTGTAATTTGGACAAATGACAATAAGTTGGTTGCACAAACGGTATTCATTTCAATATGGAGATCAGGGTTAGGGTTAGGGTTAAGGATAACCAGCAGGACATTTTATGTAAGGCTTTAATACTTACCAACAACGGCGCACTTGTAGGTCATCAGAGAGGCAAGGGCTTTGACCTCATCCACAGACACATCCATACTGTAACGGATACCTGAAGAAACACACAAAACGGGACGACATTTATTTAATCCTATTTTTCTATGATAAAATACACAGATATTTTTAACCCAAAATTAAATGTGTACTGTACTTTTATTATATGCTGGTTTATGAGCTCAAGTGCCTTGTAAACTGATTAAGTGTTCAGACTGCAACATGGGGAAAATAATTTGCCCTCACTGAAACTATCTCCACTGCATGTGCAACTCAAAAACAGAAAAGGGAAATGAATAGCAGAGATCGACCGCTGTTGGAACTGGATTGGACCAGTAATGACTGCATCTTATAACTGCTGTTGCTATGACACCTGAATTTCACTAAAGGCATTAATAAAGGTTTAATGTTTCTTATTTTATTTGTATTCTCCATAACCACACAAGACCACATGCACAGGCTGCAGATCACAGATTGATGCTTGCAGTCACGGTAGCAGAGATGGGCGGGTGGAACGCAACAACCAATCACAGCCCTCCATTCTGACCCCAGCCCCCGTTACAGTCATTCCTTCCTGTTGTCTGGGGTTTACTACGGTCGCCACGGTAACATGTGTGAGTCAGCCTGTGTGCTGCAGCGTTATATGAGACCATACAGCCAGGCTGCCAGAGTACCACACTGCTGTATCTTACTGTCTGACTGTACCAAATATAGCTCATCTAGAGTTAGCTTCAACGGAGAAACCCCAAGGGCAAGCAGCACAAGGAGGAGACGGCAGATTTTCCTTCCAGGGGACAAAGTACATTACATTACATTTTTTTTTAAAGGGCCTTAATGGAGGGCTGCACTCTCCAAAGGGTTTTCTTGTTTTCAAAGTGTTTGGCTAAAAGCAAAAACTTAGGAAGCCTAAGTAAATGCCTGCACCCTTTATGATGTCAACTTTAAGTGGCAGTGACTTCTATTTGTGTGGTTTCAGATAGAAGATCAAACCTTGCTAAACAAAGCTTGATCTTTAAGGAGTGCTGCATCGTTTCCCCTCTTTTTTTCCATTCATCCTAAATCAGCTGAGCTACCCCAGGGCCCACACAAGACAATCGGGCTTACTGATAAAATTCAAACAAGGGAAAAAAGCCTGGCTGACTAACCATCCAACCAGCCATTGATCCACCCAAGAAACAGCTCACCACAGCAACCAGCCCAAAAATATAACTGTAAACACATTCCTTTCAAATAGAGGAAAGATTTTAGGAAAATAAACTGAGCCCACGCTGAAGTCAGGGCGGTTTAATTACAACAATCTGGCAAGAAGGCCAGACACGGCAGTGCTCTTGCTCCGAAGCATGTCAAATATCTAGACTCCTGCGTAAAACATGTTGGGCTTTTGCTTGAGCAACAGATTGTTTGGATTAAACTACTGCTTCAATTATTCTGTGCGGACTTGAACTATCAAAATGTATTCAGTAGTTAGAAGAGAGCTGCTGTGTGGCTCTGCAAAGGGGGTGTATGAGCAACCCATGCACAAACAGCTTTTGCACTTTGCACTTTGATCTGAACATGGCCAAGGGTCTATGCACTATATCAATGATTATCCCACTGAAGAATAACTGCCCTTACTCTCACCCCGATAACAGGAGTTTGGCATAGAGGCCAATCAAATGTTAATAGGCCCCTCCAATAATCAGACTGATATTGTTCCTACTTAATCTTATGAACCAAAGTTCACACTTGCTGTGATTTGTGACCACTTTTAAAAGGTACCTTCGATCTGGATTGGGCAACATGAGAGGGATAAAGATATGTAATATTACTAAGAATAATAAAGACTGTTAATACCAAGATGGAGTTTGGATTGCGGTGATTCTGTGCTCTCGTCAGGCTTATAAAAAGGTGGATAGAGACACTTATTGTTATTGATTTTACAAAATGGCTTCTCTGAGTGGTCCTTCACTGACAACTAGCTGGACTGCCTTGTGATTTCATAAAGGGTTTAATTGCTCCATTACTTTAAAGTGGTTTCAGGGAGAAATCTGTAATAGATATTCTGTTTGGGTGCTTTGAAAAACGCACTCTAACTACATTTGTATTCTATTTGTATTAAATGAATGTGTATACGGCAAAGTATCTCTCCAAATTAGGTCTGCAATGGCTACGTCAAGCAGGTACAAAAGAAGGGTGTCATGGTGTTAATAGCACGCAAATGTCTGCCCCGCACAATTCAAACATGCCCATGACTGAATGGCATGTCTCTTTCTACTAAGAAAGCCTCCTCTGCACAGCACCCTCCCCCACCTGTCAAACAGCTGACAAATAGGAGTGCCTGGAAACACAACCACCCCCTCCCCAGCTCTCAAAGCCCCTGTCTTCCTATAGCCCACATCATATCCACCTCTATTCACAAATAACCCAGAGTGCACTGCAGCAGCAGCAGCAGCAGCCCATAATGCCTCTGCTTTGAACCTTGAACTTTGAACCTGTCACTCTCTCCAAGGTTGTCACATTGCCCATAAAGCAGGTTTAAACAGTGAATGTCAGTATAAGATTACATAATGAGTGAGAAGAACCACATTGTGTGCATTAGCCCTGCTGTAAACTCATGAGTATGAATGAACAGACATAAAAGCGTTTTTGCAGCACATGTATGGCCAAGGCCTGGCATGCTCAATGACACACCTGATGCCTTCAAAGCTGCCCCCTCCATCACATCATACATCTGACACACACGCATTGGAATAAGAGTAGGCAAGATCAGTAAGAGAATAAACAAACTGGTGAATCAATCCAGTTTGAACCAGATGTAATCACTTGATCGTGAGAATGAAGGGCTAGATTTAAGATCACAACTGCCTACAAAGTATCGGGGCTTCTTCAGTTTGACTGCTAGCTTGCTGCTAGCCTGAAAGCTAAGAAACTACTGTAACACTACACTTCTGGGTAAGCAGGAAGGTCACTGCAATCTGCACAAAAAGTCTCACACAAGCAGTACGCAGCTATAAGCATAGGAAACCAAACGAACGACTCAGCAGCTGCTGTAAAAACAAGGCAGCTGTTGACAGTAGCTGCTTTGATTTGTGATACTTTCAACTAGCTACTTGTGCACTAAGGATTGCTAAGTGGCTGACTAAAGCTAGCTGACACAGGTCGGGTTGGGTTGGCACAATACTTACCCCCTTTGCAGGGAGTCCTGTGCTGGCTGTGCTGGGCGCGGTACCCCTCAATCACCTCCCACTCTCCGTTATCCCTCTTGATGGGGAAATTCACGCTCAGGATGTGGTTGCATGGCTTGATGATGCGCAGGATACCCGCAACACGTTTCTTCTTCTGCTCGGGGGTCTCCTTGGTCCTCAGGTCCTCCACCAGCTTGTCTTCGACGATGCTGGCTCCGCGGTCGAAGAATCCCTCGACCATCCGGAAGAAGTTGGGGTCGTCGGGCTTGTCTGCCGCGTCGGCGTAACGACGGACCCGCATCAGGGACGAGGACACCGGGAGAGCGGAGTCAACGCACCCCGAGGCCAGGGCACTGCCCGCAGAGCGGCTCAGCAGCTCCCCAAAACACCGATACATGACTGAAGCTGGAGAACTGTGTAAACGAACTAATACAAAGGCAACTAAACTACAAGGACAATGGGGGTGACGACAGGATATGGGGTAGAATGAGCAACACAGCAACTCCTCACCGTATCCCGTCCTCTGGCCGACTGGGGGATGGTTTACTGTGTCCGTTTGCTTTAAAAGGCAGCACGAGCCAAGGAGGGAAGTGGGAGCTCCCCGGGACGCACGCGGAAGAGGAGGGTCGACAGGGGCGCGTTCACGTGCAAAGCAGTTGACAGCGCACGTTCGCGAGTCTGCACCATTGAAAGACAAGGGGGAAATAAATGTAGAATAAATATTTATTTATTTATTTTCAAGTAGACAGCAATCTTTGTGTTTTAATTTAAAGGATGACTGTGGATGCGTGATCACAATTGTTCGGTTCGTACGGAAGAGGAGTAGGGCCACATGAGTCAGAACTCAACATTTGTTGTACTTTTGGTAACATCCAAACCTTTTTTGCATTTTTAACAATTGATTAACCATATCATCCTTAAGTAAAAAAAAAATGCATTCAAGCATTTTGATTTCAGTTTTGTTACATTGAAAGATGCTAAATGTTTGGGATTGAAAAATATGTTGCAGGGGAAAATAGATATAAATGAAAGGAAAGGGAAAAATAAACATTTAGACAAATAAATGGACTTGTGAAAAGGTTAACTATGAAAATAGTTATACAATGTTTAGCCTACAAGTAAAGGCACATATCAACCATCCAGATGCCCTCTCGGTACCACCTAAAGGCTACATGATAATGATTATGTTTAAATATTATTTAAAAAAAAGATTTTGTGGGAAATGAGAATCATTTAAAAACAAATCATTTCTATATTAATTATATCACGTTTTCATTATGTTTGTAGGAACATTAACTGGCAGATAGGAAGTACTTCAGCTTGATCATTTATTAGCTTTTTGTACACCAACCAGAGTGTGTACATTGTGGTTTGTTCAAAGGATCTCTATGAGGCCTGCTGCCATCAGCAGTTCCCTCTGATCTGTTGAGTGATAGAAATGTGGAAAAGGCCCATTGTGTTTGCATCAGTCATTAACCCCCACATGAGCAGCAGCAAGTCATGTTAGGTTGATTTGTTGATGTGCAGTGTTTTCCTATCACCACCAACTACTAAAAGTATCCATTAGAAAATATAAAAAATTGTAAATATCTACTGTAACTATTTGACACTTTGTCAGTCAGCTTACAATGTAGTGTGATCATATTTGTTATGAGATGAGCATGCACTGCACTTGTGAAAACGTGTGCATCTTTGTGCGGTTATATGTTTATGGCATCTACTCCCATTGTCTGAGAAACGCTAAGATAGCAACTGTTCTTTTGTGACACCATACTCATTGCATGTTCCCATTATTTTACACACAAGAATGGCACGTGTGCAGACATTGTCTACGGCTCCACACAGAGAGAGAATCTTAGTGCTGAGCTCGTCTGAATGAAGGCCCTGACCTGGGCTTACACCTGTGGACTCTGCACGGAAGATAAGATTAGATCATGCCCCCAGGTAAAAATACACACTCATGTTGAAACAGTGACACTCACCTAATGACTACACAAAAGCAAAAGCACATTAAATGACGGCTCTAATATGTGTGTTCTTACACTGTGCATACTGTACGATTTGTAAATATACAGAGAACTGTGCAATGAATCTGAATGAACGCCTGTATTGTCACTCTGAGGACAAAAGACAAAGATATAATTCGTTACCATGTTGTCTATTGTAATCAGCAATCATTCCAGACAAGGTTTTACTTTTACTAATGCAGAATAATGCTTATCTTCTCATTCTTCTATCGGTGTACTGAAGGGCCATAAAGCTTTATTGTCTCTCAAAAGTTGATATCCTGAGATGAAACTGCACAATTGTATACTCAAACCAGACAGAAAGATAGAAGGGAAATAATATCTAAATTCTGCCAGTTGGTTAATTTCTTACAAGCATATACGCAAATCCTGTATGAAATTCACCCTTAGATGCATAAGTGGGTCTTTTTGGACCCGGTGAGGTGGTTTAAAAGTATCTTTGTAATTACATTTTTTTATCATTTCATATTCCAGCTATTCCTCAAAAAACATGTTTTGGATATCATGCCATTCACATTTTAAATTTAAATTTTAAGAAATTGTAGTTTTTGTATTACTACCCCAAGCTTCCATAAGTGGGTCAAAAATGACCCGCATGAATTTTCTATGGAATCTTATGGGAACCTTTGATTTATATCACCTGTTGCTGTCAGGAATACATTCACTGTAGACCACACAGACTACATCACAAGTGGCATCTCTCAGGAAGATTATTTTACACAGCAAGATCTGATACCTGTCAGTATAATAATAATAATAATAATAATAATATTAATAATAATAATGCATTATATGTGTATAGGGCTTTTCAAGGACTCAAAATCGCTTTACAATATAAGGGAAGGTTAGGGTGGGGGGTATAGGAGTATCAAACTTGATCAACCGGCATGGATTGATGGGGGTGGGGGTGCTATGAGTAGACAAGAGGAGAAGAGATGAGTTTTGAAAAGNGCGGAGATCTTTGGGACAATAGAGTTCAAAACGTTGTTTTTCAAAATGTAAAAAGAAAATTATAAAATTATAAATTGTGAAAAATTAAATATAAAATATTTCTAATGTGGACCAAAATATAATACTAAATATTATACAAGTGATTTATCTTAATCAAAATGACAAAAATGGCATAAAAACACATATTATTTTAATACAGGTCCTTTTAGACAACTTATGGAAGAGTGTAGGGTCCAGTCACTCGTGCATCTGATGGCGCATTTCCACTGCAGCGGGTAGCCCCGTTTAAGCGTCCTTAATCGTCCTCAAGCGGCCAGGCCGGCTAGCGGGTACTTTTTCCCTCTTTTTCTGGACCCATAAAATCGTGGTTCTATCCTTATACATCCATGGTTCTATCAGGCCAGGGCCAGGGCTGAACTAGTGACGTCAACACTCTCGACTGCTGATTGGTCAGAGAGAATCGTCACAAGATCGCGCGCGCGATCGTCCCTAGCGTCGCATATACAGTATATCTAGAAGCAAGCTTGCAGCATTTTTATACACAGCATTTTTGTAAACGGAGGAGCTACAAAAATGGCAACGTCAAAGAAAAGCACACCGTGGTCGACCGAGGAGGTGACGACGTTCCTACATCTCATTGGCCAAAAGAAAGCCGATCGCCCCGCCTACACTGCGTTGCTACCCCAGGTCCTAAACTGAAATGGAAATGCGCCACGGCTGCGGACGGCCAGCTAGGCAGCCCGAGGACTGAGTGAGGACGCTTAGGGATGCTTAAACGGGGCTACCCCGCTGCAGTGGAAATGTGCCATAAGGGTTCAACTTGATCTCAAACACAAGATGAACAACATTTGAAGAACTCTGATCTTTGCACCAGAGGTCACTTACATTTCGTTATCTAGAGATCCTTTTCATACAATAAAATAATTAGCAATAAAAGACAGTAATAATAAAATATACATGCTACACTTATTATGATCATATTGTTAAGTAAAAGTCATTGTGTATTCAAATGTTGCCTGCCAATTATTTACTATTTTGGATTATTTACTATTTTGGATTAGTACTACTGCAGTCGATGTTTAAAGTGACAATAATTTTAAGTCTTTTAAATACGGTTTGGTAGTTTAAAGACTTACTTTAATAAGCAGGAGACACATAACATATTGCATGTTTTACTTCAGTTTTTATAAAGCAGTTTCTTTTTCATTGGAAATAAAAGTACCTATAACTAAAGCTTTTACACAATAAGTGAAGTAAAAAGTACAATATTTATAAAGTTGCATACAAAATAGAAAATGCTCTAATTAAGCACAATTACCTCCAATTTCTACGTAAGTACGGTACTCGAGTAAATGTACTTAGTGACATTCCACCACTGAGTATCCACAAATTCTCCTTCCTCACCCAATCACAATGTCTTTGCACAAGTTTCTGTTGTTTATCTTTAATATCATTCACCCTCCTGTCTCCGCCTTTCTGTATATTCCTCCCTGCACTGATTTATCATGGTTGTGTTTCAAAGGGTGAGCACTGACATGTCATTGGCTGACAGCCTGACAACACCCACCCAACCATAGGGGTGTGATAGAGGGAGGGGGGAGGTGTGATAGGGGGAGGAGAGGAGCGTAAAAAGAAGAGGGGGTGGATGGGAGATCGCGTAAACAAGGTCCAGTCAGGTCACGTAGTGTTTTCAGTAGCACAAGAGCTTGGAGGAACAGGCTGACTTCTTTCATGTGTTTTGTGTTTGCTTCTTTTGATCATGATAGTATGACATTAAAACTCCAGACCCCCACCATGACGTCCTCCTCTTATCTCCCTGTTCCTATGCCTTACACTCTGAAGGCTTCTGAAACAAAAGCCAGGGACAAAGTTCCTGGGTCACCTTGAGAACTGGTAATGTCACAACCAGCCAGAACAGGTCTGTTCAGAAAACTAGTCTAAGTTGTTCAAAAATATTTCCTAGAAACAAGTTAATGAAGAAATACTTCGGACAAACAAAGCCCTATCTGTGTTTTTTTATTTTATTTTCCTAAGCCAAGTCAAATCTCAAAATCTGCTATGACGTTGTGAATGAAAGTGCAGACGGTCATGGGGTTGGATAAAAAGATTATTCTTTTGATTTCCTTTTCTCAAAAAGAGACAGAGCAGGGAGTTAACCATTAAGGGCTGTATGTGTAAATGATCAGAAGAGGTTGAGGATTGAAGAATTGGCTCAAGGACAAAGCTTAACTAACCGATTATATGTAAAAAAATAAATAAAAAGGCCATCAGGGGAACAGGTGCTCACATTTTTATTATATTTATTTAGCATTTTAGAAAATTAAACACTTTCCATATTTGCTCTTCTAATTTTCAAAATGTTGACTTTGAAAAAACCAAACAACTTCTTAATATGATTGAATAAATGCTCACGCCTGGTTCTAACACTCCTTGGATCCCCAACTTTCATAAACGTGTGTGTATATTTTTAAGATTCTCTGTGATTTGTTTTTACGATACACACCTAGAATTACATTTTAAATCTCTCAGAGTGAATCATAATAGTTAAGATAATCAAATAAAGTCAAACAATTGTAAAATACGTATATGAAAAGCAAAAAGACTACATTATTTTAGGATTAGAAGTGACA